CAATCTGTAATAAGAGGGCCTAGATATGACTCCTGGCTCTACCACTCATGTGATTTTAAGCAAGCTAATTTAACTTTCTCAACCTGTTTTCTCATCTGGCTAATGGGGATAATATCACCTTCCTCAACGTTGAGATGTGAAAGAAACAAGCATGTAGTACAATTCACCACTTTCTGAGCACAATAAATGCTTGCTAAACATGACTAATGTAAAGACAGGAGAATCTTTCATAGCACAGCTCATCGTTATACATTTCGAGATCTAACAAGAATTAAATCGCATCCCCTAAAACCTGATCTAGGTAAGCCCTAACAGAAGCAGTAAAAAGAAGTCCCACACTACTAATTTTTTAGTAACCAATATGGAGTGAAATTTTATTTCTAAAATATTCTGAAACAGGACTATCTTACAAGACTTAGAAGCTTTGTTTAAAGAAGAAAAAGAAAAAAAGCTAGGTAAAGTAAAAAGTCTTTCTCAAGTAATAATAAATTTCAATTTACTGACAATATTCAAACAAGGCAGTAGCATGTTTTAAAATCTATCAAGAGAGCTGAAAACTAATTGAGAGGCAGCTGAGCAAAATGGTCAGTTTTGTACTGTGCCAGAAGATGAGATTTCAGTTTCAACTTTGTCACTAATAATTAACCTTGAACAAGTCTCTAGGCTTCAGTTTCCTAATCGATAAAATGACTACTGAAAACCACGGATAAGATCCAAATACAATTTAATCTGGGCCTTAAGTTGGAGAGGCAATCCAGTGTGGTGGTGAATAGAACGGGCTTGGTAAGTACTGATAGCCTTGGAACCCTGGCTCTGCCACTTACAAACTATGCACTGTACACACATAAAGCAATTACGTACAGCCTACTTACTACTATCACTGACTTACTGTTTAAAATATTTCACTTAAACACGAAATTATATTAAAATACAAAAGCTTAGAAAGTTCAGTCCTAATCAAGACACTATCATTTTACTAGCAGACACTAATGAGTTCACGTGAAAGAATTAAAACTCTATCCTAGCCAAGTTTCATCAAAAGATCATAAGATATTATACATTGCAGATATCAATGAAACTTACAAGGCTAACTGTCCTACTAAAATATCAAATTTAAGAACAGATCTTCTGCTATCTATGTCTTTTTGTAATGTAATACTGCTAATAACAAAAGCTTATGACATAACCATTATTTCCGAGAATGAAATTAACTCCAGGAATGAACGATATGTGGAATTTAGAAATATATGATGAAGTGCAATCTACTAGAAATAAGTAGTTCAGAAATCACAATCAACCAATAAGTATTTACCAGACACATCATATGTCAGGCTCTGTGCATAGGTTAAGTACAAACACCAAAGTATGACGATCCTCACAAGTCCCAAGGACTTGGTAAGGCAAATCCGTCCTTCGTCATCGCTTCACGCAATAAAAGCCACATGTCTACAAATGTTTTTATTCCTTTTTGGCCCATGTAGGGCCACACTTCCCATTGCCCATTAAAACCGTTTTCTATCCTCAGTTCAGCCCACAAAGATGCCAGTCCCTCACGTCAGGATCCTCAGAGCACTTAAAGTGAACAGCTTTTAAGAAGATATTTCATTAAATCCACAAACTTCAGTATTTTATGTTCAATGACACCTACACCTGCATGTACTACACATAACTGTGTTAACTCAGGTCAAGCACATAGTTGCACCAGTTTAGTTCTTCCTCTTAAAGTACTGCTCATAAAGGTAAAACTCCTACTTCTTCAAAGTTTGCTTTTGCAATGGACATTAAGCACTAGAAAAAGGAAATTGATTGGCTCGTCACAGTTGCCCTACTTTCATTTCAGGTCCAAGAAAAAACTGTTCCACAGAGAGTAGCAAGGGGGCCACAGGCAAACCAAGAAGGCAGATGCTAAACTGAACTTTGTGACTGCCACGATTTCAGCGAAAGGTTACGGGGTGCGGGGGACGGGGATGATATAACTGAGCTATCCAAGTGAAGCTTGAGGAAGAGGCTCCACTTCACGAAGCAAAGTAGGGAGGTGGAAAACAAACCGGTCTGACTGAGCGACAAACCCAGGACGCTAACCGAGCTCGGATATGGAGGGCCCTGGAGCCCAGGAACCAGAGAAGGGAGACCTCCAGCAAACCATAGGGGAACAGGAACCAGAAGCAACGCGGTGAGGGCATCGCTGCCTCAGAGCAGCGTGCCAGGGGACACTACGAAGGAAGTGATGACTGAGGAGATAGCGACAGCATGAAGACCAGTGCCACGGGCGACCGGCAACTGCGGAAGGCGAGGCACGGGCAGCCCGAGGTGGCGGGACTGTGTTGAGTCAGCACAGCTCCTACTCCGGGGGCACTTGTAGAATCCCGGCTGTTCCTCGGGCCCTGGGGCCCGCGGCGGAGGGTCGAGCCTGCGGGCCGGAGAGATGATGTTCTCTGACGGGCTGGCGCCGGCCCCTTCCCCATTTCACAGGTAAATAGTGGCCGCCCTCGCCGCTTACCTCTGTTAACATTATTACACCCCGGGGCAATGAGGTCCTCCCTATCCTCGCCGCATGGCAACAGCCGCAGCAGCAGCGAAAACTGCCCGGGCCGCCGCCAACGGCGGCAACTGCTCCTTCAGTCCTCTCCCGGGCGGCGGCTTTACTCGGCTTCGCAGGCTTCCCCCCGGCCCGGCTGCTCGCGACGGACGCGCCGCCATCTTGGAAGAGCGACGTCCGCGTCTCCCCGCGACGTGCGCTCCCATTGGCGGGCGCAGGAGCCGCCGGCGTCTCGTGACCGTCTCCATAGCGCCGGCGCGCGGAGTTGCGGAGGCGGGCACTCTGCCTCCCACTCGGCACCCGAGGCGAGGACCCTGGGACTGGGCGCTCGGGCCGGCTTTGGATCGCGAGGAGTGGACAGAGTCCCCAGCGTCGAGGTCGTCCGGGAGCCGACGCGCGCACCTGCGAGGGCCCCTCGTCCTCTGCAGTACGCCGGGGTTGGCCAACCCTGGGGAGGGACGAGAATGGCAGAGGCCGAGACGTCGACTGTTGGCGCTGCCGACCTCGCGCGTCTCGGGGACAAGGCGGCAGATTTCCTGTGGAAAAATCTCCTTCTCGCATCTCCCTATCCCCGCCGCTACCGAAGAGCACACGGGGGTTCGGCTTCCTTCACCACCTGGGGCTTAAGTGTGATCTCACACTGCTCTCCGCGCAGCACCTTTCTCCTAAACTTTGACAGAAACTTTCCTTTGTCTCTATCAGTCCGCACTGAGTTCCTTACAGGGGTGCGCGACAAGTTGTAGATGCGATACGGGCATATCGGCTTTACTCCGATCCTAGGAGAGTTACGACTGTCGCTGATTTGGTGATTGGCCAGCACCTGCATAACAATGAGGCCTTAGTTTTGCTTCATGTAAGAGACCTCTAAAAAATTAAAGCAGGTTTTGCTTTTTAAGTGCTGTCTCTACAGCTTTACTGACTTCTTTATCTTTGTACTGTGTTTTTGTGTGTTATCGGGGTGAGCAAATTTCAGCAGATGTCATTGTAAATAGTACCAATTTAAATGGGATTGAACTCTGGAACTCAGTGTAGAAGCCCGTGCGACTGACACCGTTCTGAATCCACCACTAGATGGGTTAACAATGCGCGGAATTAGAGGAGTCACTTTTACCTGAATTGTAATGAAAGTGGTTACCTGAACGTGCTGTCAAAGTGTGCTACTCTGTTTTATTTTAGAAATCAGTGTCCAAGGAAATTGAAAATTACATTTTCAGACTTAACATGAAAAACACTTCCGGTACAAACGCATTTTGGAAAACGAAGGCCAGTAGTTCCTTCTCCTTTACCAGAATCTTTTTCCTCTGCTTAACAATGGTACAAAATGAAATGAACTTAATACATTACTTTTAGGTTCTCAAAACAAACCTTGTATTATCACTAATGTATCCCCACCAAGGGAACAAAATGGTTCATTTAAACCGTCATGCAGAAATTCAAGAAAAACCCTGGTTTTGCTCAGTTCAACTAATTGAGGCAAAATATTTTTGTTGTTGTTATTCTCTAGATTTTATATCTAATTTCCACATTGCTAGACCAGCAAAATTCTGATATGCAACAGAATAAAATGTGTTGCTGGTACTGACAGATTAAGCCATGAATAGGAAATAAGATCGGAAAATAGTACCTGCACTCAGGTATTAAGGGAAACCAAGAGATACTAGAGGTAACAAGGAACCTGGAAAAAGATACTGTTCCAACCTGTAAATAAGAAAACAGAGAACTAGGCTCATTAATATTTAAGATACCAGCTAGTGAATTAAAACGGTAATTTAGGTGTATGTCCTGAGTATTCAATTTTATTCTCATCTTTTTCCCTTTCCAGAAGCAAAGCATTTTCACTTATTCTAAAAAAAAAAAAAAAAAAACCTACTCCCACACCCCCTGACCTCATTTGCACTAAACACTTTGTTCCAGCTGCACAGGCCTGCTCCATCCTCCTATAACAACAGGAAATCCTCTTGCCCTGGAGCCTTTGAACTGACCATTATTTGTATCTGGAAGGATCTTTCCACCAAATATCTGCATGGCCAGATCCCTCATTTCTGTCCAACCTTTTCCAAAAAAGTCTCCCCTAACCCATTTAAAACATTCTCCCTCTCCTAGCATCCTCCCTTCCTTGCTTCAGATTTTTTTTTTTTTTTTTTTTTTGGTAGTACTTAACACCTTCTAACATCATTACTTACTTTTATTTTTCCTTATTGTCTGTCTTTTCTCCACTAGAATGTAGATTCCATAAGATCAGGGATTTTTCTGTTTCTCTTTTGTTCAATCACATTTCCTTAGTACCTAAAGTACTAGAATAGTGCATGGCACAGAGTAGACAATAAATATTCCTTAAGTGAATGAATGAGTGGATGAATCATTGCCTAAAAGACCTCAAAAAGAAAAGACCTAAAACTAAAGACAAAATCCTTGTTGTTGAAAGATTAAATTATTTAGAAATTGTCCATTTTGTGTTCTTACAATTATGGGAACATTACTTCTACTGCCACTAGAATGCTATGACAGAATTGTGACAGAATTGTAAGCTATGCCTTTCGCTTCACCTTGAACAAATACATTTTAGGCATGAGTCAAAGTTAATTTCCTAGCAAGGGGAACAACAAAGTGAATAAGCTATGCTATTTCAGAAAGTTAGGGAAATTAAGGAGTTTCATAGTTGGAAAAAGAGTGCTTACAGAAGCAGCTGGCTTAAAAAAAAAGCAAGCACCTAATTTGTTACAGATTGCAATTTAATTCTATGTGATCTTAAAAACATCCTATTCATATAAGTTGTTGTAGAGGAAACCTGGGACAGGATGATCTGAGATGCTGGGTTTTTGGCTATCAATCAGATATTTTTTTTAAAAAACCTGTCTTAAGAAGTGCGTTTAAGGATACATCTGTGTGGCTTTTATTACAAAAGATTTGATTCCTCAATAGCAGTGTTCAATTTGTCCAATTAACACAGGAAAGGATGACAAAAATAGGTAATAGGCAAAAATCAAGTGTGAGATGCTTTTAAACAGGCCACTGCCAGTGACTTCTAAACCTCCAAGCAAAGATTCAGAATATTCAGGTTACCTATTTTTTAATTTTGAAACAAAAACAATTTCTTTTACATATTCAGGATGTCACAAATTGGCTCTAATTCCTTTCTGAGAAACTGGGAAAGTATGGGATTAACCTCCCAAGCAAATTGCATCTATCAAACAGTTGTCACATTTAATCATTTGGTGTTTTAAACCATTTTATTAACTCGTTTCCTCATAAAACAATATTATTAATAAGGTCCAGTGTCAAAGTCAGCAAATCGGTATTGAAATACAGCATTGACAACAGAGGAGACACACTCCAAGAACAGACAACAGCAGGATATCCTGATTCTTTGTTGTAGCTTTAGTAGGATATTAGTAAGCAGAAATCTCAAGGCATTTAAGAGTGCTCTGAAGTCTAGCTTCAAATAGCCCAGCATGTGTGTTTTTCTTGCATGTTTTGCCCCTTGTATTTACTTTCTGAGGAAATATTGAACCAATTCAAAACTAAGAGACAGAGGCAGAAAACTTTGCTAACAGCAGATGCAGCCATAACAAAATAATGTTCACAAGCCTCTTCAATAGCTCCACAACCATACAAAGATCTAAATAGAAAGGACCATATTATAAATACGTTAATGTCTATGGTGTATTTAAGAGGTATTACTAGGTCAATGGCACCCAGTCAATTTTAAAAACAAATACTTTTACACCACAAAAATTAGATCCAGAGCACTTTTCAAACATTTAATTCTTAATTATGCATACTCTTTTTCAATACCTATTATGCGCCAAGCACTGAGGTAGGTATTTTGCATTTCTTATATTTAACATTTGAAAAAGGCCATCACAGTAGATCTTATTACTTTTAGAGGCCACTGAGAGGTTTAGTAACTTGCCCTAGGTCACCTATCCAGGATACTATCAATGTGATTTATCATTGTTGATGTTGACCTTTATCATCTGACTGTGATAGTGTTTGTCAAGTTTCTCCTCCACTGTAAAGTTACTATTCCCCTCCTCCCCACTTTCACACTATACTCCTTGGAAGGAAGTCATTATAAGCACACTGCGCTTAAAGAGTGGGGATTTATGCTTCTCCTCTTGAGGGTGGAGTATCTAGATTATTTGAAATTCCTTAGCATGGGCAATTTGTCTCTTCTCCATTTTTTATTTACGTAATCATTTGCATATGAGTATGGACACAGATATTTATTTTATACTTTGGGTTATAGTCCAACACTACTTTATTTTATTGTTCAAATTGTCCCAGCTTTGGCCACTGAAGCTCTTTCAGTTTTTCTGTGTCCTTTTAATCACTCATATCAATGTGGGGTGGGGTTTTTTGTTTGTTTGTTTTTGTTTTTGACACTTTGGTGCTTACAGTATTTTTTGTTATCTTACAGATGCTCCAGGTTCATCATGCCCCAGCCATTTCTCTAAGAAACCCTAGTTACTTTTATTGACGGATGGTATAAGAAACCAAGATCTATGCTCTAAAAGTGCTATTTGCTGCTTGGGGTGTCACTTCTTTTAGGTCCTTGCAACTGACAGAGCAAGGAAATATATACATGAATACTAATCCATGTATGTACACCTATCTACAAATATTTATATAGTAACCATCTGTCTCTATACTAGGCTAAATATGAGTTCATACTGATGTCTCCAACTCTAATGCATTACTAGATTGATCATTGTAGCTTCTTCCCCTTGCTTATCTGTAATTCCCACTTCAACAGTGAGAAACCTGGCTCCTACCATCTGCCATTGATTTACTTAATTGTTTGATTGTGGTATACTTGCATAGCAGTATAAGAACTGTTAACCCATACCTCTATGGAAAAGAAGTTTATCAACCAGAGAACAGTGCCTACATGCAGTTCATTTTGTCTTTACTGTTATAGACGTCAATCATTTCTAAAGTTCCTTAGTTCATCACTTTTTCCCCCACCCACTTCAGTGAGATTGTTTCATAGATTTATAATACAGTCAGATTCTCTTGTTAAAGTCTGCATTTTTTCCTGAGATCTGCATACCTCCTAAATGATTTGATTTTTTTTATTTACACACGTTAAGTTTTATTCTTTGTGCTGCAAAGTTCTATGAGTTTTCACAAATGCATAATGTCATGTATCCACCGTTATAGTAGCATACAGAATAGCTTCGCAATCCTAAAAACACAAAGGAAATAAGTGCATAATAAAATTGTTTTTTACAATGTTTAAATGTAGACCCAAACAACAAATGATTTTATGCAATAAACATCACTTGGATACGGATAGAGATATTGATAAATAAATAAATATATGCATAAATACATATATAAAATCTAATTCTCTATAATACCTAGTTACCTTATATTTATTAAGTTCCTACCATGTGCCAGGCTATGTTCTAAGTGTTTCACAGCAATTCTGTAAGATAGGAACTGCTATTATTCCCATTTCACAAATGAGGAAACTGAGGCTCAGTTGGTTAAATTTTTTTGTCCAAGTTTACATAGTTAGTGTAAAACAAATATTAAAGAAAAAATAAATATATACA